TGGGCTATTGTTTTGTCTGTTGTAGCCGGGCAGTCGGAGTCCCCAACTTTTAGAGTGAGTGGGCAGATGCGTTGAGTTATGGGCAACCCCGCCGAACGGCCCAGTGAGTAGCTGGCCACCGGGGAGAAAGGTGCTGCCTTTTTGTCGATGAGTCCGCACGACAATGGCCGGCCACGGCTGGAGCACCGCGCTGAACCGAAGCCAGAAGCCAGTGTCTTCTCCTGGTCTCCCATGGGGTGCATTGCCCAAGCACCTGGGCCATCCTGCACTGCACTCCGGGTCCACAGCAGAGAGCTAGTCTGAAGGAGCAACCTGGACGGAATCTCGGCGCACCGTTCAGGGATTAGAACCCGGTGTGCCGGCGCCGCTAGGCGGAGGATTAAATCTAATGACCCGGGGCGACGGCCTAATGGAAATGTTTTTAACCATGGTAGCCAACGTTGACATTACTGGGGAGAAACATGCTCTGGCAGGATGTATTAAAGAGTTTTATATGGGGCTGGCGCCGCGGCTCACTAGGCTAATCCTCCGCCTTGCGGCGCCGGCACACCGGGTTCTAGTCCCGGTCGGGGCGCCGGATTCTGTCCCGGTTGCTCTTCCAGTCCAGCTCTCTGCTGTGGCCCCGGAGTGCAGTGGAGGATGGCCCAGGTGCTTGGGCCCTGCACCCCATGGGAGACCAGGAGAAGCACCTGGCTCCTGGCTTCGGTTCAGCGCGGTGCACCAGCCGTGGCGGCCATTGGAGGGTGAACCAACGGCAAAAGGAAGACCTTTCTCTCTGTCTCTCTCTCTCACTGTCCACTCTGCCTGTAAAAAAAAAAAAAAAAGCTTTATATGAAGATATTCCCTAGTGGGTTAAGCCGCTGCCTGTGACCTCAGCATCCCATATGGGCTCCAGTTCGGGGTCCAGCTGCTCCACTTCCCATCAGGCTCTCTGCAGCCGGCTGCTGCGCCCATTCACGCCCGCAAGCACTTGGGTCATCCGTTGCCTTCCCAGGCGCAGGAGCAGGGAGCTGGCTCCAAAGCGGAGCGGCTGCTGGAGAAAGGCCGTGCACCTGTCCGCTGGCCGCGCCTCTGTGCCCTGGGCGGCTGAGAGCCCCAGCTCGCAGCTGTCAATCACGAACCCCGGCTGCAGCCTCCCTGGCGCGAGCCCCCTGCACACTTCCCTGCCGACTTCGATGCTGCTCGCGGCCAGCGCCGCTTCTCTAGGCGGCGACCCCTGGGGGTCCCGGGTTTTCGTTCTCCGGTCTGGGCCTCTAGTGTGTGTCCCGGCCCAGACGCCCCCGTGTCCCGGGAACGCGGTCAGCCCCGACGCTTGCAGCTCCCGGAGCTGGGAGCAGGAGCGGCAGGGGTGGGGGGGGCAGAAAACGGGCACGCAAGTTCTACCCAGACACTTGGAACCCAGAGAAAAGGCGGCCACCGCGCGGCCACCTCCGCGAGGACGCGGAAGAACTGCGAAGTGCCGCTCAAGAGCCGAGAGCCCGCTAAGTGGCTACTCACCGCGGGACGGGGCGGGACCTCAGAGAGCCAATCAGGAGCAAGTTATGGAAAAGCTAGGCTAGTTCTGATTGGGACGCTCGCCGAGAGAAGGCAGGATCAGGACTGCAGTTAGCCAATCAGAAGTCGGATATCTGTGCGCTCCCAGCCCCCGGGGCGTGACCGGGAGGGGAGTCCCAGGCTTCAGAGGCGAGCCTCCGTCCTCAGTAGTCAGCGCTGACTGGGCGCTGAGCGTTCGGAGGAGCCAATCAGAAGACAGGACTCCCAGGGCGCGGTGGAGGGGCGGGGCCCGGAGCTCGGGCTCCGCCTCCCGCGCGAGTGCGGGGCTGCGGCCAGAGTCCGCGACCGCAGGGAGCCGAGTCCTCGGGACGTCTTGTCGCGGCGGGTGAGCCGGGGTGGGGCCCGCAGAGGCGAGCACGGGTCGTCCTGGGGAGGGGTCCGGGGTGGGGAGTGCTGCCTGCGTGCGGGGCGACCCCCGCACTCCGGAGACCTCACCCGGGACCCGCGGGCTGACGCCGCGCGTGTCTACACGGACAGGGCCGAGGGCGCGTGCGGGGACCCGGGACGAAGGTCGGGAGAGGCCGGCGGAGAGCCTGGGCTTGATGGCGCAGCCTCTGCGGGCAGGAGACCCCGCCGGGCCCCGTGGGAGTCGCATCCCCCCTCGGCCGCCCACGGGGGTCCGTGGAGAAGCCGGGGTGACTCTCACGAACTCTTTCCTTACTTCCGGGGGCTGGCGGGACCCGGGCTGTCAGGTCTGAGACCCGGAGCCTTCGGGGGGCTGGCGGGACCCGGGCTGTCAGCTCTGACATCTGGAACCCTTGTATCAAAGCAGAAAGGCTGTGTCAGGCCGAGGAGAAGGAAGTCCAGACGTCAGCTGGTTTTCCCAAGCCTTGCACAGGTCCACCCAGCTGACCACGATCAAAGTCCCGGTTCTCCTGCCTCTGTGACCCGGACCACAGCAGGCAGCTTAGAATAAAGATTTATTTATCTGGGGTCGGTGTTGTGGCACAGTGGGTAAAGCCACTGCCTGCAGTGCTGGCATCCCATGTGGGTGCTAGTTCAAGTGGGCAAAGGGTGGAGGGAGCTTCAACAGAGATGGGGCTCAGAGACGGGGGTGGCAACAGAGCTCCTCTCATCTTGCAGCTGCTCAGAGAGGAGATAGTCACGCATAGGTGTTGCAACAGCACGATCCGACTCTGATGTCTGCTCCGGGATCTAAGAACATGACTCACAATCATGCTCCGGATCTGTCTCTGGATCTGGCTCGGGCTCCTTGAGTCCATGAGGCCATACACGATGCCGAGATTACAGAGAGAGACAGAGAAAGAGGTCTTCCATCCACTGGTTCACTCCCCAAATGGCTGGAATGGCCAGAGCTGGGCCGATCCGAAGCCAGGAGCTTCTTCTGGGTCTCCCACACAGGCGCAGGGGCCCAAGGACTTGGGCCATCTTCTACTGCTTTCCCAGACCATAGCAGAGAGCTGGATCGGAAGTGGAGCAGCTGGGACTCGAACTGGCGCCCGTATGAGATGCTGGCACCAGAGGCGGAGGCTTACCCTACCACGCCCAGCACTGGCCCCATGGAAGTTGTTACTTTTGTTGGAGGTAGGCCGACTGGAGAGTAAAACCTACCTGCACCACACATGTGAGTGAGTGAGAGCGATCCACTGACTGAATGAGCGCTTCAGACTCCCACCTGCCGGGACCTCGCAGCCTTCAGACCAGTTGAGCGAAATAGCCTGGAGAGCTCTGAGTCTGGGAAGTGCTGGGTTTTGCTTGTTTGTTTGTTTTAGATTTATTTGAAAGAGTGACGGTGGGGGGGGGGGGTGAAGAGACAGAAAGGACATCTGTCCATCTGTTCACTCCCCAAATAGCTGGCTGTGACGGTTGGGGCTGGGCCAGGCCAAAGCCAGGAGCCTGGAACTCCATCCGGGTCTCCCTCGTGGGTGCAGGGACCCAAGCACTTGGGCCATCTTCTGCTGCTTTCCCAGGCCACAGCAGAGAGCTGGATAGAAAGTGGAGCAGCCGGGACTTGAACTGGCGCCCGTACGGGATCCTGCATCCAGGTGGCGGCTTTACCTGTTGTGCCTCCACACTGGCCCAAGCGCTGGCTGTGATGATGTCAGTATTTATATGATCAGTCGGGCACTTCAACCTGCTCTGCCCAGAAGGGAGACACACAGACACACAGCGGCATTCAGATGCTGCCTTCCAAGTGCCAGTATCCCACCCTGCCCGGGTACTGTCTCCCTGTGCTCTGTTCCCCTGCCCTGCCCGGGTACTGTCTCCCTGTGCTCTGTTCCCCTGCCCTGCCTGGGTACTGTCTCCCTGTGCTCTGTTCCCCCGCCCTGCCCGGGTACTGCCTCCCTGCGCTCTGTTCCCCCGCCCTGCGCGGGTGCTGTCTCCCTGCGCTCTGTTCCCCCGCCCTGCCCGGGTGCTGTCTCCCTGCGCTCTGTTCCCCCGCCCTGCCCGGGTGCTGTCTCCCTGCGCTCTGTTCCCCCAGCCGGTCCTCAGCTGCCTCGCTGTCCTCATCCCTGCTCTGGTCTGGAGCTGCAGCATCCATCTTTGTCCTTTATTCTGAGCCCTCCTGGTCGCCTTTCTGCTGCGGCCTGTGTGCTCCGAGAGCTGCTTTTAAAGGCACACCTTCGGGAGGGCCACGCCTTCCGCTGCCCAGGGCACATCCGTGGCGTTGGGCGTCTTCTCCCGCCTCCCCTTCAGTGCCCAGTTTCTGGCCCAGGATGTGGTGCATCCCGCATGAAGCCACTGGCGGGGATGAGGGCGATGGCACTTGAGGCCTCCTTAGAGATGCTGACCCTGGCCGGGAGTGCCTCCCCAGTGGTCCTGACGGTGACAGTGACGGGCGGCTTTTGATCCTCAGGCCGTTGGCCACTTGGCCCGAGCCTTCGCCTCCAGTCTCCTCCACGGGTGCCTCCTGGTCCAACCCCCAGCAAAGTCAAGACCAGTGCAGAGTCGGAGGGTAACAGCACAGCTGCACTCACTGGCGCCGTATTTCTCCCAGCTCAGCAGCTTTTTGTTACACCAGGCTGGCTTTTTTTTTTTTTTTTTTTTTTTAAGATTTATTTATTTATTTGAAAGGCGGAGTTACAAAGGCAGAGAGAGAGGTCTTTCATCCCCTGGTTCACTCCCCCAGTGGCCGCAGCAGCCAGAGCTGGGCTGAAGCCCGGAGCCAGGAGCTACCTCGTGGGTGCAGGCGCCCAAGCACTTAGGCCATCTTCCACTGCTTTCCCAGGCCATAGCAGAGAGCTGGATCAGAAGTGGAGCAGCCGGGTCTCAAACCGGTGCCCATATGGGATGCGGGCACTGCAGGCGGCAGCTTTACCCACTACGCCACAGCGCCAGCCCCCAGGCTGACTTTGGATGGCCAGAGCTGCCTTTTAAAACAGGGCTCTGCAGACAGAAGTGTAACAGCCCGGCAAGGATGCCGCAGGCACGTCTTCTGGGCTGGAAGGGAGCTTGGCCTTCAGTCACCTGCAACGAGAGAAAGTCACTCTTTCTAACGCTAAGAGTTCGTATTCAGCAGCAGTTACGGTGCCGCTTGGGCCACTCAGATCCCACCTCAGAGGGCCTGGGCTCGAGTCCCAGCCCAGCTCCCGACTCCAGCTCCCTGCCCATGCGCACCCTTGGAGGCAGCGGGTTACGGTTCAGGTACTTGGGTCCCTGCCTCCCACATGGGGGACCTGCGTGGAGCTGCTGATTCGTGGTTTTTACCAAGACCGATGATGGAGAGTCGAAGGCCAAGGCCATGACCGTGGCCGGGTTTTTTTTTTTTTTTTTTTTTTTTTTTTTTTTTTTTTGAACAAGCAGAGTGGACAGTGAGAGAGAGAGACAGAGAGAAAGGTCTTCCTTTACCATTGGTTCACCCTCCAATGGCCGCCGCGGCCGGCACACCGCGCTGATCCGATGGCAGGAGCCAGGTGCTTCTCCTGGTCTCCCATGGGGTGCAGGGCCCAAGTACTTGGGCCATCCTCCACTGCCTTCCCGGGCCACAGCAGAGAGCTGGACTGGAAGAGGAGCAACCGGGACAGAATCCGGTGCCTCGACCGGGACTAGAACCCAGTATGCTGGCGCCGGAAGGCGGAGGATTAGCCTAGTGAGCCCAGCCCGTGGCTGGGTTCTCATTGTGACTTAGGACGTGACTCTAGACCAGTGACTTCACCTCTCAGGACCTGAACTTCCACTGGGGAGGGACGGGAGGAGGATGGACGGGACGGGGTGACCCCAAAGTGCTCTCCTGGCCTGCGTTCTCTCCCCGGGAATCGCCGTCATTCGGAGTGGTAACCCTGAAAGTCATTGACGGTGTGAGGGTTTTTATTCACCTGTGGAAACATCCACTTAGCTCATTGCCTGCTCGGATCGTTTTTAACCTTATACTTAAAAGTAAATAGATGAAGTAGGGCACTGGTTCTCTGGAGAAAAATCGGTTCAACAAGTGGACTCGAACCACGCCCCTTTCTGATTTATTGTCCTCTCCCTCCCCCCAGAGGCGATGTCCAGCGGAGAGGATTCTCGGTCCTGGGCGCTGGCCAAGCCGGCTTTCACGGAGGCACAGGCCTCTGCCTTGGTGGAATCCGTCTTCGGGTTCCGAGTGTCGAAGGTCCGGCCCCTTCCCAGCTACGACGACCAGAACTTCCACGTGTGTGTCTCAAGAAGCCAGGACGCCGCCGACGGCCCCGCCGAGTACGTCCTGAAGATAAGCAACGCCGAGGCCAGCAAGCACCCGGACGTGATCGACGTGCAGAGCCGGATCATCGAGTTCCTGAGGGCCGCCGGCTTCCCCACCGCCTCCGTGTGCCGCACCAAGGCAGGCGGCCTGAGCTCCGTCGTGGCCGTGGGTAAGAGGTGGCCGGCTCCCCGGCCAGCACCTGTCCACGCGCGGGCGTCTGCCTCTGACCCCGGGTAGAGATATGGTCTCACGACCAAGGGCGTGAGTCCCGCTGATGTTTCCCAGGAGCTGGGAGAAGCCGCAGCATCACCACCGTGGAGAGCGGAGCTCTGACTGGGAGAAGTCAGGGCGGGGATCGGGGTAACCAGGACCTGGTGGTACTGATGGGCGCGTGTAGGAACCAGGGGGCGTGTTTTGTTTCACTTTGTTTTTAATTTGTGCTGCATCTGAAAGAACTTCTTTCTTTATACTCAATTCTCTTGGGTTTGTCAAGATTTATCACTTTTTTTTAAAAAAAATATTTATTTATTTGAAAGGCAGAGTTACAGAGAGACAGAGGCAGAGAGAGAGAGAGAGAAAGAGTCTTCCATCCACTGGCTCACTCCCTGAATGGCCGCAATGGCTGCAGCTGGGCCAATCTGAAGCCAGGAGCCAGGAGCTTCTTCCAGGTCTCCCACGTGGGTGCAGGGGCCCAAGGACTTGCGTCATCTTCCACTGCTTTCCCAGGCCATAGCAGAGAGCTGGATCAGAAGTGGAGCAGCCGGGACTCAAATTGGCACCCATATGGGATGCCAGCACTGCAGGCTGTGGCTTTACCCGCTATGCCACAGTGCTGGCCCCTTGTGGGTTTTTTAATCAGGAACTAATTGGATATTTGTATTTAGTAGACTGGTGGTGGATTCTGGTGCACACAAGACCAGAAATCAGGAAGCTGGGCGCCCAGGTCTGTCCTTGTACTGTCTGGGGGACCTTGGGCACACTCCTGGAACTCCCTGACCTCCGATCCTGGCCCGTGAGACTCGGTCCATTCCACTCCTAAATGCCGAGATTCACCCAACTCAGCCCTCTGAGCAGCAGCCTGGAACCCATTCCTAGAATGTTTGTCCCTCTGTTTATGTTCATTGTTTATTTTATATATATACATTTTAAAGATTAATTTTTTAAATTTTATTTATTTTATTTTTATTTTTATTTTTTTGACAGGCAGAGTGGACAGTGAGAGAGAGAGACAGACAGAGAGAAAGGTCTTCCTTTGCCGTTGGTTCAACCCTGCAATGGCCGTCGAGCTGGCACGCTGCGGCCGGCGCACCACGCTGATCCGATGGCAGGAGCCAGGTGCTTCTCCTGGTCTCCCATGCGGGCGTAGGGCTCAAGGACTTGGGCCATCCTCCACTGCACTCCCTGGCCACAGCAGAGAGCTGGCCTGGAAGAGGGGCAACCGGGACAGAATCTGGCGCCCTGACCGGGACTAGAACCCGGGGTGCTGGCGCCGCAGGCGGAGGATTAGCCTATTGAGCCGCGGTGCCAGCCATAATTTTTATTTTTTTTATTTGACAGAGTTATAGACAGTGAGAGAGAGAGAGACAGAGAGAAAGGTCTTCCTTCTGTTGGTTTACTCCCCAAATGGCTACCATGGCCGGTGCTGCGCCGATCCAAAGCCAGGAGCCAGGTGCTTCTCCTGGTCTCCCATGGGGTGCAGGGCCCAAGCACTTGGGCCATCCTCCACTGCCCTCCCGGGCCACAGCAGACAGCTGGCCTGGAAGAAGAGCAACCGGGACAGAATCCGGTGCCCCAGCCGGGACTAGAACCCGGGGTGCTGGCGCCGCAGGCGGAGGATTAGCCAAGTGAGCTACGGCACCGGCCCGATTGATTAATTTTTGAAAGGCAGAGTTACAGACAGGAAGAAATAGAGAGGTCTTCCATCCTCTGGCTCACTCCCTAAATGGCTGCAATAGCCAGGGCTGGGCCAGGAGGAAGCCAGGAGCCAGGCTGTCCATCCGGGTCTCCCATGTGGGTGCAGGGGCCCAGGCCCTTGGCCCCCGAGGAGCAGGTGGTGTGCAGGTCGCACACACAGGCCGTGCCTCAGTCTACCGAGAAGCCTGTATTCCCCAGCGCTTGTTTCTATGCCTCATTTTCCGCAGGTGCAGACTAGGGTGGGGGGAGGGGGCTGTCAGCATTTGCTTACGTGATTTCTGCCTGGAGCCCCGGCCAGCAGAGCTGACTGTCATTTATTGGCATAGAAAGGGCCAATTCCAACTTTTTATTTTAACTTTTACTTGTTTGAAAGACAGAGACAGACACAGAAAGACCTTTCTGTTGGTTCACTCCCCAAATGTCCACAACAGCTGGCCCTGGACCAGGCCAAAGGCAGCAGCCAGAGCTCCATCCGGGTCTCCCACGTGGGTGGCAGGGACCCAAGTACTTGAGCCATCACCGGTGCCTCCCAGGACATGCATTAACAGGAAGCTGGAGTCAGGAGCAGGGCCAGGACTTGACCCAGGGCCTCCCACGTGGGATGCGGGCATCCTAGGCTGCCTGTCAACCACCCCCCCACACGTCGGCTTCCCAGTGCTCTTCAGGTTTGTCTGTTCCGCCTGCTTATTTCATCCACTCAGCTCTGTGGCCTAGAGTCCTGCTGAGTTGTTTCAGGTTAGTACGTTTTTGCCTCTTCTGTAATTTTTATTCTTTTCAGAATAAAAGTTGCAAAGACCAAATTTAAGCTAATTTTTTCAAGAATAGTTGATGGGTCAGTGCTATGGCACAGTGGGTTAAGCCACTGCCTGTGACACTGGTATCTTATATGAGCACCAGTTTGAGTCCCGGCTGCTCCACTTCTGATCCAGCTCTCTGCTGTGGCCTGGGAAAGCAGCAGAAGATGGCCCACGTGCTTGGGCCCCTGCCCCCATGTGGGAGACCCAGATGGAGTTCTAGGTTCCTGGCTTCAGCCTGGCCATTGCGGCCATTTGAGGAGTGAACCAGCAGATTCTCTGCCTTTCAAGTAAATAATTGTTATAAAAAGAAAATGCTCCATTGATGAGCAGTGTCCTTTGGTCCGCAGACAGGGACTCCAGCGTCAGGAGCTACGTGGTGAGGCTGCTGACCTACCTGCCTGGCAGACCCGTGGCCGAGCTGCCCGTCAGCTCCCAGCTGCTGTATGACATCGGGAGGCTGGCCGCCAAGCTGGACAAGACCCTGGAGGTATGACTGTGGGGCTTGTTCATTTGTTTATTTGTTTCAAAGTTCACTTATTTATTTGAAAGTCAGAGTTCAAGACGAAGAGAGAGAGATCTTCTATCTGCTGGTTCACTCCCCAGTTAGCCACAATGGCCAGGACTAGGCTAAGCCAAAACCAGAGCCAGGAGCTTCTTCTGAGTCTCCCATGTGGGTGCAGGGGCCCAAGCACTTGAGCCATCTACTGGCAGCTGGTTCAAGTCCCTGTTGCTCCACTTCCTATCCAGCTCCCTGCTGATGCACCTGGGAAAGCAGTGGAAGATGGCTCCTGAACCTATGTGGGAGACCCCAGAGAAGTTTCTGGCTCCTGGCATTGGCCTGGCCCAGCCCTGGACATTTTGACCCCTCTCCCCCGGTACCAGGCCCGTCCCAATCCCTGGCCTGATGGCTGGCCCACTAGGAGGGCCTTGGAAGCTTAGCGAGGTTCCAGGGTCGGGCAGCCCAACTCCCGCCCTCCTGGCCCGCAGAGAAGCCGAGACCTGACGCCGGGTGTCCCTCCTCGGGGAAGCAGGGCCCTGAAGCCAGGGCCTGTGTGAGATCACCACTGGGATTTGGATAGGGAGCGCATCGACTTCTTCACCCTCAGCCTGCCTTCTGCCTTCTTTGTGGGCGCACCCATCCACCTATTGCCATTTGCATCGCTGTCGTGGGGCACGGCGAATCCAGCTTTCAGAGGGTGGCAGGGCCACATCCCCGCCGACACTGGGTCCTGCGCAGTACTACCTGCTGGTTGGTGTCCGAGGTTTTTTTTTTTTTTACAGCCAGAGTGGACAGTGAGAGAGAGAGAGAGAGAAAGGTCTTCCTTTTGCCGTTGGTTCACCCTCCAATGGCCGCCACGGCCAGCACGCTGCGGCTGGCGCACCGCGCTGATCCGATGGCATGAGCCAGGTGCTTCTCCTGGTCTCCCATGGGGTGCAGGACCCAAGCACTTGGGCCATCCTCCACTGCACTCCCGGGCCACAGCAGAGAGCTGGCCTGGAAGAGGGGCAACTGGGACAGAATCCAGCGCCCCGACCGGGACTAGAACCCGGTGTGCCGGTGCCGCAAGGTGGAGGATTAGCCTAGTGAGCCGTGGCGCCGGCCATTGTCCGAGGTATTTTAAAATGTCCTACAGGGCACAGGGGAGCTACAGAGAGAACCAAGGAAAGCTGTCCCCCCTTGGTGTCACAATGACTCTGAGCAGGTTTGACCGCTGTCACTCATCCGCTTGCCTAAGCTCACCCTGCCTTCGCAGGGAGTAAGTTCTGAGTCTTTTCTTAAGCGCTGGGGGCTGCAGAATCTGTGCAAGATAAAGTGCAATGTGGGCCTGGCAGTGATCTGACCGCTCGGCTGGGGACGTGGCTGGGCCACTGCGGTTTCCGGCAGTTGGTCAGGGGGATCCAGAGGAGACAGGAGCCCCTGGGCTGGAGGGGACTGGAACTAAGAATTCAGAGGAGAAGGCTCCGCCTGGCCGGTACTGGCAGCTGGGTGCCGTTTGGACCACAGATTGACTGGAAGGTGAGCTCAAGAGTCGCGTCTTTTTTTTTTTTTTAAGATTTATTTATTTACTTGAAAGAGTTACACTGAGAGAGAAGGAGAGGCAGAGAGAGAGAGAGAGAGAGAGATCCTCCATCTGCTGGTGCACTCCCCAATTGGTCGCAAATGGCCGGAGCTGTGCTGATCCGAAGGCAGGAGCTTCCTCTGAGTCTCCCACATGGGTGCAGGGGCCCAAAGACTTGGACCATCTTCCACTGCTTTCCCAGGCTGTAGGAGAGAGCTGGACCGGAAGAGGAGCAGCCAGCACCTTTATGGGTTGCTGGCACTGCAGGCAGAAGCTTAGCCCACTATGCCACAACACCAGCCCCTGAAAGACTCTCTCTCTCTCTCTGCAACTGACTTTCAAATAAATAAAATAACTCTTAAAAAAAAGCTATCAGGAATACCGAGAAGTCAGATCTGCAGAGTTCATGTTCAACAAATATTTACTGAGTACCCATATAAATGAGATCTTTTTTTTTTAAAGATTTTATTTATTTTTATTTGAGAGGTAGAGTTACAGTGAGAGGGAGAGACAGAGAGAGAAGTCTCACTCCCCAACTGGCTACAATGGCCGGAGCTGTGCCAATCTGAAGCCAGGAGCCAGGAGCCTCCTCCTGGTCTTCCATGCGGGTGCAGGGGCCCAAGCACTTGGGCCATCCTCCACTGCCTTCCCAGGCCACAGCAGAGAGCTGGATGGGAAGAGGCGCAGCCAGGACTAGAACCGGTGCCCATATGGGATGCCGGCCCCTCAGGCAGAGGATTAACCTACTGCGCCACGGCGCCGGCCCCAAGACTCAATATTCCTGTTACTACCCCATGTCAGAGCTGAGCCCTCCTGCAGATGCAGGGCTAACAGGGCCCCCACTGCGAGGCTGACTCTGCGCCTCCCCGGAGTAGGCTGGCGCTCTGGTGGAAACCCACCAAGTGTTCTATTTCACCTTCTTTATACATAAGAGTATTCGAGTTGTTCATGGAAAATCTGTATAATGAAAAACTACTTGTGGATTTCAAACCCCTTGCATATAATAAAAAAATTTATCCTCTCTCTCTCTCCAATAGATAGGCAGACAGAGTTCCCATCCACTAGTTCACTCTCCAAATATCTGCAATAGCCTGGCCTGCATCAATCTGAAGCCAAGAGCTGGAAGCTCCATCCAGGTCTCCCGTGTGGGTGGCAGGGACCCAACCACTTGGGTCATCATCTGCTGCCTTCCTGGGTGTTCATTTGCAGGAAGCTGAATGGAAACAGAGCTTGGGGGCCGGTGCTGTGGCGCAGTGGGATAAAGCCCCAGCCTGCAGTGCCAGCATCCCATATGGGCGCCGGTTCAAGTCCTGTCTGCTCTTCTTCCCATCCAGCTCTCTGCTATGGCCTAGGAAAGCAGTAGAAGATGGCCCAGGTCCTCGGGCCCCTGTGCCCATGTGGGAAACTCAGAGGAAGCTCCTGTCTCCTGGCTTTGGATCAGCTCAGTTCTGGCCATCACGGTCATTTGGGGAGTGAACCAGTGGAATGGAAGTCCTCTCTCTCTCTGGCTCTACCTGTCTCTGTAACTCTGTCTTTCAAATTGTGGGGAGCAATCCGGACTAGACTAAGTTACTCGAATTAAGACTTATTCTATGCATCTGCTCTCCCACAATATGGCGCTGGGAGAGAAGTAAACAGCTTCCACACAGCTGCCTCCAGTTCAACTAATAAGCTGTAGGACTTGCTCCTGATTGGAGGAGAGCAGCGTACTCGGCGTGTGGGCAGCCGAGTTGGGATTGGCGGAGGAGGACTATAAAGGAGGAGAGAAACGGCATGCACCGGGGAACATCTATGGGGAACATCTAGCTGAAGGGAACCCGTGCAGCCCCCGAGAGAACCAGCCGGCGGTGTGCCGCTCCCCTGCGGAAGTGGGGAATGCGGCCAGGGGGAACTGCCCTTCCACGGAGGTGGAAGGGATAGTAGCCAACCCGGGAAGAACCAGCAGCAAACCCGGGGAGGGCCGAGCAGACGAAAGAACAGCGCAGGGTCCTGTGTCGTTCCTCCACGAAGAGGGGGAGCGACATAATGGTGCCGTGACTCGGATAGGAAACCTAGGACGGATATGAAACTTAGGAGGGAAGAAACGGGAAGAACTAGGGAAAATATTGGAGAGAGAAACTAGCAAACAGCCTAGGGAAAATACCGGAGAGAGAGACTAGCAAACAGCCTAGGGAAAAGCCGGACGAAAAAGGAGCCGGAAGAAGCTATTGAAAGCCTAGGCATAGACTCGGATACGGACTACGGGGGGAAGCTGGGAGGAATCTCTAAGGTTGAAAGCGAAAGTGAAAGCTAGAACAAACAGACTCGGATACGGACTGTGGGGAGAAGCCAGGAGAAATGAGGGAGGAATATTGTTGGAAGAAAACTTAGGGAAACATACCGGGTAGAGAAAAATGTTAGGGAAATTGAAGCCGTGGGGGGCAGGCCAAGGCGGACACGAAAGCCACTTTGGGATTCTCAAGTTAGCCCGGGAATAGGGGGCGAAAAGTTGAAACCAGAAGCTGAGACGTAAGCCAGATTGGGATCCGTCTGATTAGCCCGGGGAGCAAAGGATGGGAAGCCAAATCGTGGGGCGGAGACGTACGCTGGGTTGAATTCGCCAGGCTAGCCCGGGGAACTTAGATTGAATGCTAGTGGCGGACACGTAAGCTACGCTGTGTTACTCGCGGAAGCCGCCGCGTGCAGAGAGAGCACGGGGCGTGAATAGATAGGGAACGGGGCTGGCGTAGGCCGTGGTTCAGACGCGAAAGGGTTAAGCGTGGAGACCGCGGAGCGCGCGAAGCCGAGCCGCGCAAAGCCGGGAAGCTGCGCAGATGAGAGAGGCGCGCAGGCTGAAGCGGCGCAGAGCCGGGAACCCGCCGGCGGGGCGAGGTGCCGGAAAGCCGCAGGGATAAGAGAAACAGAAGTTTAGAAGTAAAGTGAGAAAAATAGGAATGCTGGAAGATAGAAGTAAAATGGGAGAAATAGGAATGCCCAGAGATAGAGAAATAGAGAAATAAAAAGGCCTCCCTACAACACTGCAATGTGAGAGCTTGGATTCGGTCTGCCTAATCAAGTGAGGCGATGAGCACCTGCGGGCAGCTAGCAGCTTATGCGCCGCAGGTCACCGAAGACAGGCACGAATTAACATCAGTAAGGCTTCCCCACAATACAACAATATTAAGCTTGGATTCGGTCTGCCTGATTTAAGGCGGTAAGCGCCAGCAAGCAGCTCGACCAGAGTATGAGCTGCAGGTCACCGAAGATAGGCACAAACCAACACTAATAAGTCTCCCCCACAATACGGCAATGAGAAGGCTTGGATTCGGTTTGCCTGATAGGTTTTGTAAACACCTGCAGGCAGTTCTAGCAGAGCAGAGTATGCGCTGCAGGGCACCGAACACAGGCACGCATCAGCGCCTAAAAACCTCCTCACAACATGGCGAAGAGAGGACCCGGATTCGGTTTGCCTGATAGGACTTGTAAGAGCCTGTGGCAACTCTAGCAAGTAGAGCAGAGTGTGTGCCGCGGGACACCGAAGACAGGCGCGTATCAATGCCAAAAATAAAAAGAAAGGGGGATCTGTGGGGAGCAATCCGGACTAGACTAAGTTACTCGAATTAAGACTTATTCTATGCATCTGCTCTCCCACAATATGGCGCTGGGAGAGAAGTAAACAGCTTCCACACAGCTGCCTCCAGTTCAACTAATAAGCTGTAGGACTTGCTCCTGATTGGAGGAGAGCAGCGTACTCGGCGTGTGGGCAGCCGAGTTGGGATTGGCGGAGGAGGACTATAAAGGAGGAGAGAAACGGCATGCACCGGGGAACATCTATGGGGAACATCTAGCTGAAGGGAACCCGTGCAGCCCCCGAGAGAACCGGCCGGCGGTGTGCCGCTCCCCTGTGGAAGTGGGGAATGCGGCCAGGGGGAACTGCCCTTCCACGGAGGTGGAAGGGATAGTAGCCAACCCGGGAAGAACCAGCAGCAAACCCGGGGAGGGCCGAGCAGACGAAAGAACAGCGCAGGGTCCTGTGTCGTTCCTCCACGAAGAGGGGGAGCGACACAAATAAATAAAAAAAAAAGAAAGAAAGAAAACAGAGCCTGAACTCAAGCCGACGTACTCTAATAGGGGGTGCAGCTTCCAACGGACAACTCTGCTGCCACACCCCACACACCCACCCCGCAACTTGTCTCTGAATTCCATTTTCCCATTGCATTTTAATAACCCCCCCCCATAGATGCATAGTGAAAATTTCAAGCGGTGCTGAAAGATGTCACATGAAAACCACGTCTACACCATCGCGATTCCTGCTTGGAACCCACCTCCCCGTAAGCAGCTCCTCAAGGTGTCTGAGTGTCTTCTGCTTGCTCCGCAGAGCGCTTCACACCCGGTGGTGAGGACACTGGAAGTCTCGTCCCGGGAGGAAGCCCGTGAGGGTGTAGAAGGCTTATCTGCAGAAGTCAAGGCTCAGGGCAGGCAGGAGTGCCGAGTTCAAGGATCGGGGACAGTCATGTGGCAGAGGCATGCGTCTGGTTCCAGATGGCCCCCGAGGTCACAGTGGGGCCGGTGGACACTGCTGGGGAGGCAGCTTTAAGCCCAACAAAAGGAAGACATAGAAAAAACACAAAGTGCCAGAACCCATCACAGGTAATGTCTCAGTATTATTGACTGCGATGGTTTTCTTCTGCATGTGTATGTGTGCCTCTACAATGAAATGCAATGTAAGGCACGCTCAGAAAGATTGGAAGGCTACTCACGTCAATGGGTGCCTACACAGGCACTCGGGGACAGAGATCTGAAGTCAGGAGACCCAGGCCCTCCCACGGCCACAGAGTAGCAGGTCACTAGCCCTCCCTGAAGCTCAGTTTCCCTGTGCATACACGGATGGCCACAGTCACTGAGAACTTTAGACAGAATGGTTAAAGTCTGGGCCCAGTGTAGTGGCGCAGCGGGTTAAGCCAACATCCCATAGTTAGAACACTGGTTCAAGTCCCAGCCGCTCCACTTCCAATCCAGCTCCCTGCTAATGCACCTGGGAAAACAGTGGAAGATGGCCCAGGTACACGGGTCCCTGACACCCTTGTGGGAGAACCAGATGGAGTTCCTGGCTTCTGTCTCTGGCCTGGCCCAGCCCCAGCTGTTGCAGCTATTCAAGGAGTGAATCAGTGAGTGGAAGAGTTCTCTCTGTCAACCCACCTTTCAAATAAATAAGTAAATCTAAAAGAAGAAGAAGCAGAATGGTTGAGGTCTAGAGGCCCTTCCAAGGTCAGAATGTCTTATCCTAGGAATATCCATGAATTCCGCGGGTACTGAGTGGTACCTTGTAACCGGGCACTGCTCGAGGTGTGGAGCCACAGTGGTGAACAAAACAGGCCCCTGGTCCTCAAGAGCTTAACTGCTAGTGAGGATGAGCCAGAAGGTAATTAAGTGGGTTATGGCAAATGCGGATGGCAATAAGGTCAGAAGAAATAAGCAGAGGAGAGGATCGTTAAATGTTGGAGAGAAGGTGAAATTTTAGATGGCGTGGTCAGGCGGCTCTTGTAGAGAAGGTGGTTCCTTGAGTAAAAATCTGGCAGAAGGAGGGCACTACCCACGTGACCCACTCCGGAAGGCAGCCCAGGACGGGGAAACTCGTGTTGGGGAGTGGGACCGCTGCAGGTGCACTCGCTGGCCAGCAGGGGGCCGGTGCAGTCCAAACAGAGTGAGCAGGAGCAGAAGCTGAGGTCAGAGGGGTCACCAGGGGCTGGGGTCAGGTGAGGGGGTGAGAACAGTTCTGTAGGGCTGCCTCCGACTCCTCGTGTCAACTCTACAGTCCCGGGGCCAGGAGTGAGGTGCAGTGGGTAAGGTGCTGTCTGGGACGTGTGCACCCCTATCAGAGTGCCTGGGTGCTTTGCAGCTTCCTGCTAACGTGCACCCTGGGAGGCCTCGGGTGACGGCTCAAGTACTCGGGGCCCTGCCACCCAAGTGGGAGACCGGATGGAGCTGGCTCCCGGCTCGTCCCGGTCCAACCCCAGCTGGTGTGGGCATTTGGGGAGTGAACCAGCAGATGGAAGACTCTCTCTCTCTCTCTCTCTCTCTCTCTCTCTCTGCCTTTCAAGTAAAATAAAAACAAATAGCAATGTTTGAAAAGCACCTGTGTGCACACCAGTGAAGGAGGGCGTGTGCCCCGAAGCCAGGAGCCCCTGCACAGACAGGAAGGCGTGACTGGCCTGTGGGTTAACGTGCCCGCGGTCAGTGCACACGTGTGACTGTGAGAGGCAGCCAGCACTCCCGGCCACTGCGGGGCACACGGCGGCCCTCTCCGAGGTGCGCGTTCTGCCAGCGGGCTGAGCGTTTCTCGCTTTGGGGTTTAGGAGTTCCGTCACCCCGGCGTACGTAGTCTGCGTCGCGAGGACTTCATCTGGAACCTGAAAAGCGTTCCTCTTCTGGAACAGTACCTGGACGCCCTGGGCCAGAGCCGAAACCGGGCGATCGTCGAGCAGGTCATCCAGCTGTTCAAGCAGGACGTGAGGACCAAGCTCAGCGAATTTCGGGAATGTGAGTGCCCCCCGCCCCGCCCCGCCCCGCCCCATCACGTCAGTGCTTTGCGCCATAAAACCGTGGAGGTGCAGCTCGGCTTCGTCAAATCCTCAGCCCACGGTGCGTGCTTGGCGCGGCGAGTGGGTCAAGCTGCCGTTTGGGGTCGTCCCAGCCTGCGCAGGTCCCGGCGGCTCTGTGTCCCGTCCCGCTCCCTGCTAACGTGCCTGGGAAGCAGTGGATGGTGGCGCAAGTGCTTGGGCCTCTGCCGCTCGCGTGACGAACTGGATGGAGTTCCAGGCTCCTGGGTTTCGCCTGACCCAGCCCCTGGCTGTTGCGGGCATTTGGAGTGAACCAGCGGATGAAGATGTCTCTCTCTCTCTCTCTCTCTCTCTCTCTCTCTTTCTGTCTCTTTGCCTTTCAAATAAATAATCAACCTTTTTTAAACTTCATTTAAAAAGTCTGCAAGCTTTGCCATACGATTCCACTGTTTTTTAAGTTGATCCATTTGGAGTTCCCCAGAAACCTTTTATTTAAGGAACACAAGCTTCATGCATTTCATAAGCACAGCCTTAGGAACACGGTGGTTCTCCCCACCGTACCCACCCTGCCACCCACACTCCCACCCTTCCTCCTCCCTCTCCTATTCCCATTCTTATTTTTTACTCAGATCTATTTTCAATTAATTTTACACAGATAACGATTAACTCCATACTAAGTAAAGAGTTCAAAAAAAGTGTGGAAAAAAAAAAAAAAACCTGTTCCTCAGCGGCTGAGACAAGGGCTGCTCAAAGTCATCACCTCCAAGTGTCAAATTGGTGAAGCTCCCTCTTACGCGTCACAGGAGCCCACTCTATTTTTTTTTTCTTAAAGATTTTATTTATTTATTTGAGAAAGAGAGTTACAGAGAGAGGTAGAGAGAGAGAGGGAGAGAGAGGTCTTCCATCCACTGGTTCACTCCCCAGATGGCTGCAACTGCTGGAGCTGTGCCGATCCAAAGCCAGGAGCCAGGGGCTTCTTCTGGGTCTCCCACGCAGGTGCAGGGGCCCAAGGACTTGGGCCATCTTCTGCTGCTTTCCCAGGCCACAGCAGAGAGCTGGATCAGAAGTGGAGCAGCCAGGACTGGAACCGGCGCCCATATGGGATGCCGGCACTGCAGGCGACAGCTTTACCCGCTACACCGCAGCGCCAGCCCAGGACTACGTTCCCTTGTGTGATCTTCTGAACTTTCCTGTTAGGTCTATAATCCATCTGGAAGCTGGTTTTATGTAGCGCATACACTTTGCTTAGGCTTATGCGTGCTCCCACCACGCTGTATTGAAGCAACCGCCTCTTCCCTGCTTTGTCTGGGTCCCACCTCTGCTGCAAACCGTGCCCGGTTTATTCCTGTGGCCTCTGCTCCCATGCAGCCCTGTGTGCCTCAGTGAGGCAGGGTCAGCCACGGGAACAGACACCCCTCCGCCGTGGCGGGCCACGTGCAAAGGCTTAGTGCTGGCTCCAGTGACACGCCTACCGTTCTACCCATCCTCACTTTGGGATGGAGACTGATCGGACTTTCACCAACCCAAATCCTGCCATGGTGTTGAGGAGGAGAATGTAGCCAATTGTATGCCGGCTCTTCAGCCTCCGGCCCGGAAATGATGTCCCTTGTGCCCCTGTGTCAGTGACCATCAATCATGTGGCCCGCTAAGCCACAGCGCCGGCCCCTGGCTGCTCCACTTCCTCTGCACCCGCGTGGGAGACCCAGAAGAAGCTCCTGGCTCCTGACTTCAGATCTGCACAGCTCTGGCCATTGCAGCCATCCAGGGAGTGAACCAGTGGATCGAAGACCTCTCTCTCTGTGCCTCTGCCTCTCTGTAACTCTGTCTTTCAAATAAATAAATAAATATTTTTTAAAAATCCACCCATCTATATAAATAGGGAGATAGATTAAACAGATAGATACTAAGTTTTATAAATTTCCCTTGTGGCTGGCATTGTGGTGTGGTAGGTTAAGCCCCGTCTGTGGTGCTGGTATCCATATGGGTGCTGGTTCGTGTCCCAGCTGCTCCACTTCCAGTCCAGCTCTCTGCTGTGGCCTGGGAAAGCAGTAGAAGATGGCCCAAGTCCTTGGGCCCCTGCACCCACATGGGAGACCTGGAAGAAGCTCCTGGCTCCTGGCTTCGGATCAGCCCAGCTCTGGCCGTTGTGGCCATCTGGGGAGTGAACCAACGGATGGAAGACCTCTCTCTCTCTGTCAGTACCTCTCTCTGTAACTCTTTCAAATAAATAAAATAAATCTTTAAAAGCTAAGTAAGTAAATTTCTCCAAGAGGACTTCTGCTTTTTTTTTTTTTAACTTGATTTAGTACTAGATGCTTGATTTTCTAAAATGCTAATGTGAATTTCATTCCTAATTTCACTTTTTGTTTGTTGCTGGTGTATAGAAATAGCACTTTGTTGTATCCACATAGTTCCCAAATACTTTCATTAATTCAAATAACTTACCTCAAGATGCTTCAAACATATACAGTGATACCATCTATAAATAATTACAGCTTTAAAAGGGAGAAACAGTCCTGTGTTTCCCCTCTCTGTTCTCCTTCACTGAGCATCCTGTGTTCCCCACCGCCCCGCCCACATCCGGGGGAAGGAATTGTGTAACCGTTGACCGTGACCGCTGCCTTACGCCTGTATAACATTAAGGACATTCTTCGGGACAGGAGTTGGGCATAGCGGCTGAGCGCCTGCTTGGGGCGCCTACATCCCGCACAGGAGTGCTGGGCTCGGTCCTGACTCACTCCTGTTGTTGTACCTCCTGGGAGGCAGCAGGCAAGGGCTCGAGGGCTTGGGTCCCCGCCACCTGTGTGGGAGACCCGGACTGAGTTACATGCGCTTGGCTTTGGCCTGGCCCAGCTGTGGCTGTTGCAGGCACTTTGCGGGTGAACCAGCAGGCCAAACAAATTTTTTTTCTTTCTACTTTTCAAAAATATTAATTAAAATAAAAATTTTTTTTTTTTTTTTGACAGGCAGAGTGGACAGTGAGAGAGAGAGACAGAGAGAGAAAGGTCTTCCTTTGCCGTTGGTTCACCCTCCAATGGCCGCCGCTGCAGCCGGCGCACCGCGCTGATCCTGGCAGGAGCCAGGAGCCAGGTGCTTTTCCTGGTCTCCCATGGGGTGCAGGGCCCAAGCACCTGGGCCATCCTCCACTGCACTCCCTGGCCATAGCAGAGAGCTGGCCTGGAAGAGGGGCAACCGGGACAGAATCCGGCACCCCAACCGGGACTAGAACCCGGTGTGCCGGCGCCGCAAGGTGGAGGATTAGCCTATTGAGCCACGGCGCCGGCTTAAAATAAAAATTTTAAGACGTTCCCTTCTATTCCTGGTTGCTAAAAATTTATATGATGAATGAATGTTTTAATTTTACCCAGCATTTTTATGCATAGCTATCGAGATGGTCATATTGTTTTTCTTGGTTGATATGGTAAATTACATTGGTTGTTTGAGCGGCAGACTTACAGAGAGAGGAGAGAGAGAAAGAGACAGAGAGAGAGACAGAGAGAGCAAGCAAACTTCCATCTGTTGGTTCAGTCCCCAGGTGGCCACAACAGCCAGGGCTGGGCCATGCTGAAATCAGGAGCCAGGAACTCCATCCAGGTCTCCTAGGATGGGGGGGTTAGGACTTGGGCCATCCTCGCTGCTTTCCCAGGCACGTTAGCAGGGCGCTGGACCGGAAGTGGAGCAGCCAGGCCTCGAGTGGTGCTCATACAGGATGCCCGCACTGGCCCCTGACCCTGTACCTCTGACTGATCCTCAGCTGAGAGAGAAATGGACAGAGAATGAACTGGGCTATTAAATGCCTGTCTCTACGCTTTGTCTACTTTCAGGCATTAATCATGGGGACCTTAACGACCACAATATCTTAATACAGTCCAGCAAGACAGCCTCTGGAGATACCGTAGACCAGGTGTCCGGGATCCTGGACTTTGACGACATGAGCTATGGCTACTATGTGTTCGAAGTGGCCATCACCATCATGTACATGATGATTGAAAGCAAGGACCCCATTCCGGTGGGCGGTCACGTGCTGGCAGGCTTTGAGAGCGTCATCCCGCTCACCGCCGCCGAGAGGGGCTCTCTGTTTCTGCTAGTCTGCAGTCGCTTTTGCCAGTCGCTCGTCATGGCTGCGCACTCTTGCCAGCTAAACCCCGAGAACCGGGACTACCTCATGGTCACGGCCAAAACCGGCTGGAGGCACCTGCAGCAGCTGTTCGAGATGGGTCAGGCGGCCGTAGAAGAGATCTGGTTTGGAACGGCCAAGTCCTACGCGTCCGGGGTCGCCGTGTGAGACCAGGTGGAAGTTGCGTCGTTAAAACTCAGCAGGACCAAGTCCGGTTTTGTGCAGGGCTCACTCGCCCAGCATAGCTAAAAATGAACTGATTGACAAAATCGGTTCTGAACGTGACAAAACATGTGTGAAACCTCTCAAGCTCTTCAGGCCATCATGACCACTTTTTAAACTTAAAGGGCGGCAGGGGCAGGGGCCAGCTGCATCCCGCACCAGGGGGCCTGGCTGGAGTCCCACCTCCACTTCCTCCCAGTGCTCTGATAACGGGCGCCCTGCCAGTCAGCAGATAACGGCCTGAGCGCTGGCTTCCTGCTGCATATGTGCAGACGGGGCTGGAGTTCTACCTCTTAACTTCGCCCGGCCCAGCCATGGCTGTTGTAGGCATTTGGGGGAATGAACCAAGGGATGGAAGACTCTCTCTCTCTCTCTCCCTCTCCTCCCCTCTCCCTCTCCCTTTCCAATTAATAAATAAAACTCTGAAAATCTATTGGGACAGAAGTGGTGCCTGGGGACACGTGTCCTGTGATCCCCTTTGCCTTGGGTACGGAACACGCATGATGATGTCATTTTGAGTCAGGTAAGCGCTCAGGTTCTAGTCCAGCCCTGAAATCAAGGACTTCGTTAAATGTTGGCAGGAATTGATTGAGAGCTACATAGAGATGAAGTAGTCGCATATTTGAAATAACCAGACACGATGCACACACCTGGCTAGAGCGCCTCTCACCCCGCTGTCCCTGGCCTCCTGTCGCGTTCTGTAGCTGGTGGCACGTGGCTTTGCACAGGGGTCGTGGTTGTGCAGACACCTGCTCCACGAGCACCGTGAGGCCGGAAACTGTGTGGAACGTGCTCTTGTCTCCTCCCCGCTTCTCCTCACACCTGCAGGAGTGCCCTCCCACGGGAAGATCTTTCCTTACAGAAGCTTGCAGAGTGAACGCGGGCTGGAACGCGCACTCTAAAATGCACCGGCAGTGCCTACTCAGATGACGGTTCCGTGAGAAAACGTTCGCCTTAGCCTGAGAGGGTGGCTGGAACCGCAGCTCCAGAGACGGGTGCCGGGAGACACTGGACCTGCAGGGAAGCAAATGGAGACGTCCAGACGAGCCCGCTGAGCCCGGAGCTCCCGGAACACGGGGCCCGGGGGAGCCCCGAACAGAGAAAATGTCCCTGTAATTTGATCTCTGACTCTGTGAGGAGGTGGCGGATGGGATGAAGCTCGCTGTATCCTCGGCTTAAATCTACTACTGTGTTTCCTCCAGTCCTTTCTCCCATCGTGGTTTTAACTGCCTTTTCTACCAATGACCAAAGTTTATTCAAACGCCCTCAGTGTGTATGTGTTTGCATTGGGTGCATATCTGACTTGTATACCAGTAGGCATTGATTCTAAATGTTTAGCTGCCTACCTACCTAACTCTGCTTCCCAAGCTAAGTTTTTCTCTCAGTGTTCTCGTATCTATTTTTAAAGTGATGTTTATTTGTTTATTTGAAAGGCAGGCAACAGAGAGAGAGAGAGAGAGAGAATCTTGTATCTGCTGATGCAGCCCCCAAATGGCCACAACAGCCAGGTCCGGGCCAGGCTGAGGCCAGGATCCAGGGACCCCATCCTGGCTCGTGCGTGGGTGTCAGGGGCCCAAGTACATGGGCCATCATCTGCTGCCTTCCCAGGGGCTGCAGCAGGAACCTGAATGGGAAACTGAGCAGCTGGGGCTGGAATTGGCGCCCAGTGTAGGATGCTGGTGGTGCAAGCAGTGGTCACCTCATGACGTCACAGCACGAGGCCCTGCATCGTTTATTTGTCACTTCGCGGTCCCTCCACTTCTCTGAGAGCTGGGGTGATGGTAGTGCCAACGTCACAGTCGGATTTCAGAGGAGAAAAACACTGAGTGCTTGGCACCTGCTAGCACCTGCTACGTATTGGCCACCCAGGTTGTCCAAACTCAAAACACCGGGGAGCTTTGGGCTTACCTTTCTTATACTTAATTAGCGAGTCCTGTTGGGTTCTTAGAATCACAGGGCTTTAGCCCCATGGGCCCTTCCTGCCTCATGTATGTCAGGAGGTAACAAAAGCTGAGCATCGAGGGCTCTTTACAACATGCCCACGAGGGAAATTCCGCTGTGATTAACGCTCACGTTCAGGGAAGGAAACAGAAGTGTTGCTGCCCAAGAAGAGCCAGGGCCTCCGTCAGGCCTTCCTGAACCAGATGCTCTGCCCCACTGGCCTGGGCGCAGAACGTCCAAACCGTGCGGCCTGGCCTTGCCCGGGCGACAGCGGGTGGGACTCAGAGTTCGGTGGATCCAGAGCAGGCTCGTTTTGAAGCTGGTAATGGTGTCATAAATACCCAGACGGCCCTTGGCAGAAAAACGGTTCCCCCTCCCTCCCAGGGCCCCTCGGTACTTGCTCCCCTTCCTCCCTCCACTCCTTGGGCCCCTAGACACACAGGCAGGAACAAATAAGATCATTCACATAAAAGCACTTGGGCTTCTCAATCGTTAAAGGATTTTGTGGTTTTTATTTTTGTTTCACCGAGAGACAAGACAGCTGCCATTCTCTGGTTCAACCCCCAAATGCTCACAATGGTTAGGGCTGAGCCAGGCTAAAGCCACGAGCCAGGTGTCCCGCGTGGATGGCGGGACTCAACCACGTATAGCATCACCTGCTGCCTCCCAAGGCCTGAGTTGGCAGGAAGCTGGGGTCAGGAGCCGCAGGCACTAGAGGTGCTCAGAGATGCGACGCAGCTGGCTTAGACACGAGGCCTGACGCCCACCCCAGATGATGGCTTGCAGTCTAGCTTGGTCATTCAGGAAACTGAGGATCAGAAGAATGGACTGAGCCTTGGGTTTTACTCCCGGACCACTCCCGTGATGAAACTCTTAGAGTCCCTTCGGGATTGCGTTTGCTAACGTGGATTCCCCGTCAGTGAGTCTGCAATGCAGATCCTGCCGATCGCCGTTTCAGTTTTTCTATATGCTGCCTTGCACTGATGTCTCCGGTTCGGTTTTGGTCTAGCTTACCTCCGACCCATCAGTTCCGTGTGTTCCACAAACGCTTTGGTGCCTCTGATGGTTAATTTTAGGTTGCTGATGTGAGTGGGTTAAGGGATACCCAGACAGCGGACACAGACACATTGTTCCTGGTATGTCTGCAGGGCTTCCTGAAGACGACCCATCCTCACCGAGGTGGGTGGGCATCCTGCAGTTGCTGAGGGGCCAGACAGAAAACACGCAGAGAAAAGACAAGTTGGCGAGGCACCCATCCTCTCCTGGCTCACACGTCGCAGCTCCAGGTTCCTGGCCTTCGGGCTCCAGGCCCGACCCTCGCAATCCCCCGCCCCGCTCTCTCCCTAGGTCCTCACCAGGCCTCAGGCTCAGGCTGAGCCACACAGTCACATGAGCCAATTCCTGTAATAAAACCTTGTAATGCCGGCGCCGCGGCTCACCAGGCTAATCCTCCGCCTTGCGGTGCCGGCACACCGGGTTCTAGTCCCGGTCGGGGCGCCGGATTCTGTCCCAGTTGCCCCTCTTCCAGGCCAGCTCTCTGCTGTGGCCCGGGAGTGCAGTGGAGGATGGCCCTAGTGCTTGGGCCCTGCACCCCATGGGAGACCAGGAGAAGCACCTGGCTCCTGCCTTCAGATCAGTGCGGTGCGCCAGCCGCAGTGGCCATTGGAGGGTGAACCAACGGCAAAGGAAGACCTTTCTGTCTCTCTCTCTCTTACTGTCCACTCTACCTGTCCAAAAAAAAAAAAAAATGAACTGTTTAGAAAAAAATTTATTTTAATTAAAAATCTCGACATACAAAAATTGTACACATTTATGGGGTGTGATGTGATGTTTTCGGTAGTCCAATCACCAAACCCAAATCCCGTCTTCCAGGTTAAAGAGACATGCACAGCACATTACCTTATGGGCAGTCACCCTACTGTGCAACAGAACCCAATAGCTGAGTTGGGTTTTGGGGTCTCCCCCCGCATCTCTGCTCCCAGGCACACAGGGGTGAACACACACAGAGTGGCAGAGGGCCTCGCCCAGACCCAGGGCCCCGCCGCCGCCTAGGTTTACCCCACAGAATTCAGAGTTTTTCAGTGAGATTTCTCAGTTAAAAGTGAGATTAAAGAGGGAAGGCCGAGTAATGACTGTGGGTGACCCAGTAGGTGACAGTGGCTGAACCGCGGGGACCACAGAACTTCAGGAAGATCGCGGGAGGTGCACACTTTGAAATCCATCCGCAGCCCTTTCCTAACAGGTGTTTCCCACGAACTTCCAAGGGCCCTTCCTGCAGGGACTGACCGAGGGAGGCCTCGATGCAGGGTGCCTTCAGCGGTAGACTGTTTCCTGTCGCAGTGGGAAGACGTGACGGCAGCGATGTGTGGGATGATGAGACCCCGACATCTCCCCTCCCACGGGTTCCGCTGTCACGTGCCACTGCTGTTTCCCACCGACAGGCTCTGCGCCTTGAGTCTGGGTGAGCCTGTGACTACCCAGTGAATGAGCCCGAGGGCGGGCTGTACAAGGTCCCCCTGGGACCCGGACGCTGTGTGGACCACACAGAGAGGACTAGCGGCCCAAACAGCTCATTTCTAAGCTACCTGCCTTTCAAAACCTACCCAGATCCAACAATGTTGCACCCTACATAAAAGACGCTACCCGGCCGGCTGCTCCTAGGGGGCGACTGGGAGCGAATGACGTTGTTAACCCAGCTCTGGTCCCCCTTCCAGCCTGCGGACCCCTGACCGGGTGCAGTCGGCGGCTGAAGGTGGGCGGAAAGGGCGGGAAGGCGAGCTGGGCACTTCCAGGAGATCCTTTCCAAGTGAGAACGCTGGGAGGCGGCTGGAGGCAAGGTGCGGTCCGAAGCGGCGGGGACCGCCCTGGGGCCCCGGGCAGGAACGAGAGCCACAGGCGGGCGCCCGCTGTCCCTCCCCCGGGCCTGTGACCAGCCGGGACGCAAGCCGAGGTAGAGACGAAACCATAGGAAACGGAACCCAGCGCTCAGGCCACCTCCCGCCCCGGCCAGAGTCCTCAGCTCCGCCCCTGCGCCGGGCCACGCCCTCCCGGGGATAACCCCGCCCCGCAGCTCCCATTGGGCGCCCCGTGCTCGCCCCGCCCAGGACCGCTTCCGCGTCCCCGGCCGCCCCGCCCCCGGGCGGCTCTGCGCACGCGCGGGGGCCATATTAGCGGCTCGTACTCCGGCGGCGGCGGCGGGTTTCCTCCCCTGGAGTCCAGCCCTCGTGTGGATTTCCAACTCTTCCGTGTTTTCTCTCGGGTGAGCCTGAGCCCGCTGGAGGGGCGGAGGTCTTGGGTCTTGCGCTCCCTGTGGGCGGAGGTCTTGAGACGGCCGGTTTCGGCCTGCGGCGGCCGAGCAGCAGCGGGCGCGATGACTCTGCACCCGGCGGCCTCGGCGACGGGGCTGGCCCGCGCCGGCCACCGTCGGGCTGGCGTGGACCGGGCACGGGGGGCCGGGGGCCGGACGCGGGAGCCCGGCGGGTGACAGTTGGCCCTGCGGCAGGTGCCGGTGAGCCCCTGGTCCTGCCGGGCCCGGCGTCAGGCGGGGAGGTGCCGAGAGCCGTGGGCTCGCGCGCCTGTCGTGTGCCCGTGGCCTCGCGGCCTGCTGTCGCGGCGCCCCCCCGTGACCCCTGCCGCGTGCCGCCGGCTCCTTCCCTGGTCACCCTGCCCTGGCCCGCCAGCAGCCCGAGCGCTGGCTAGAGTACCGCTCGGTTCCTGGCGCCCCAGAGTCGCCCTGGGGAGCCCCGCATTGACTGAGAGCGAGAAACCCGGCCTCTCCGTGGGTCCGCGGGCCCTGCTCACCTCCCCGGTCCTCGTTGCCGGGACTCCGGGCTGTGTCTCGTGGCCGGCTGAGCCTCGCGCGTCGGGAGTGGGCGTGGGGGCACGCACGGTCGCCGCCCCGGTGCCGCACGCTGGGCTGTGCGTTCCGGGCGCTGCGGGGTCCGGCCGCTCGCTCAGCCCTCCGGCGTCCTTGCGATCTGTCTTTGAACTTCAGCAGCTGTCTCTTGCCCCTTGAGCCAGCCTGCCCCACTGCCCTTTGCTCCCCGTTTCTGCCCCGTCTCCCTCCCGTCCCCAAGTGACTTCTCGAAAAGTACTTAAGCCGGCGCTGTGGCTCACTAGGCTAATCCTCCACCTTGCGGCGCCGGCACATCGGGTTCTGGTCCCGGTCGGGGCGCCGGATTCTGTCCCGGTTGCCCCTCTTCCAGGCCAGCTCTCTGCTGTGGCCAGGGAGTGCAGTGGAGGATGGCCCAGGTGCTTGGGCCCTGCACCCCATGGGAGACCAGGAGAAGCTCCTGGCTTCAGATCAGCGCGGTGCGCTGGCCGCAGTGGCCATTGGAGGGTGAACCAATGGCAAAGGAAGACCTTTCTCTCTCTCTCTCTCCCTCTCTCTCTCTCTCACTGTCCACTCTGCCTGTCAAAAAAAAAGTACTTAAATTGATTTTCTTCACCTCGGTGCCTCGCCCACGCTACTGTCCCATTTGTGTCTGACCCCCTCGCATGACTGTCTCACCCGTTCCGGGGTCCCAGTACCCGGCACAGGGCCTGGCACCCAGCAGGTGCCCGGCAGAGCCGAGCTGAGCGGAGGGCGTGTTGTGAAACGCGTGTGTTTCATTCAGCGGATGCTTAGTTGTGAATTGTGGATTTCGTTTCTAATGCCGACCCTCTTCTCTTCCCAGAGCCGCGTTACAGAGCTCAGGAACCATGGTGAGTTGATGCACGCGTCTGATAGCTCGCGCCGGGACGTGTCCTAAGAGGGTGTGGGAGCTGGCCTGCGGTGGGTCGGAATCATGGGTGTTTTTCCTTTGCAGTCTCGGAGATACGACTCCAGGACCACCATCTTTTCTCCCGAAGGTAAAGTACAGACTGCCTCGATCTGCCAAAGCAGTCCTTCAAGTGTTGCACTTGGGGGAGGGGAGGGGGCTGCCGACGGTTTTTTGTAGTTGCGGTACTCAGGTCGCCGGGTGGACCCGGTGCGGCTTGGCGGCTCTCGCGGCCTGCCGGTGCCCTGACGTGTTCTTTGGCATGGGCGGTGTGGGAGCGGCTCCTCACGGCCTGTGTCCGCAGGTCGCCTGTACCAGGTGGAGTACGCCATGGAGGCTATCGGACACGCCGGCACCTGCCTGGGCATTTTGGCTAACGACGGAGTTTTGCTCGCGGCCGAGAGGCGCAACATCCACAAGCTCCTGGACGAGGTCTTTTTCTCCGAGAAGATTTATAAACTGAACGAGTGCGTAAGCTCCCCGGGCAGAGCTCCGGCCGGCCGCGGCTCTCCCCGCGGCTGCTCTGGTAGCAGGAATGGGTGGGGCCGGATGCTTGGAGGACACGCCTCTCTGTAGGGTGAGAGCCGTCGCGCGGGTGCAGGTCCAGGCTCCGGGGTGAGCCGTGTGGCCCTGCGTCTCACGCCCTCCTAGAGTGACAGCAGATGAAACAAATTTAATAAGCCAGAAGTGGCTGGCACATCAGGGGTTCTCAGAGTGTTTGGAATGGCAGCTCATGAATGAGGCTGAATGACAGGATTGTCACAGAGAGCAGGCCCCTGGGGGAACCGCGCAGCAGGCCCTGTGTGCTGGGTGGCACTGCCGTTCCCTGTGGGTGCAGCCAGTGGAGAGCTGGCCAGACTTTGTCCTCAGTCGGGGGCCTGCAGGGCCCGGTGATGACCTCACCCAGGGGGCGCTGTGGGGCCCGCCCAGCAGCTTGGTCAGGCGTGGTGGTGGTGGGTGTCTAGGCTGGATGCAAGCCTGGGCTGCAGCCCTGTGGGAGGCCAGCTGTGGGCTTCCTGGGCAGGCCGGTTGCCCTGCGTCTGTCGGAGAACCTGGAGGGGCGTCTCTTGATCTTGGGTGTTGAGTGACATCACGCTGATGTCTCCTACGAAGTAAAACTCGAGTAGTTTTCTCCCGAGGGTGGAGCGAGCCTGGTGAGCGTCTCAGGAGCTCGGTGCTCTGTGAGGTGGGTGGGAGGCTGCGGCTCGCAGGCGCCCCCCTGCTCACACGTGCGTCTCTCCCTGCAGGGACATGGCCTGCAGCGTGGCGGGCATCACGTCGGACGCGAACGTTCTCACTAATGAGCTGAGACTCATCGCGCAAAGGTGTGGTCGCAGGGCCGGAGCTGTGAGAGTGGAGGGAGCCTGGGGGTGTGGCGCTCAGCTCGCTTCCGCAGGCGGGCAGTCCCTGCAGATCGGTCGTGGGAAGCAGTGGGTTTTTAAACTTGCAGTGTTGCTTACCCTGAGTCTGTTGGGATGTGGATGGAGTCCCACCCCCGCCTTCCTCTGCGGATTGCAGGCTCCTGTTACCTTGTCTGCGGGCCTGGTTTTCCCCTTGGAGGGTGTTTCTTTAGACTGTGGCTGGTTTAGAAGAAGCTGCTCTGCCCCTCTGCCCTAGGTATCTCCTACAGTATCAGGAGCCCATCCCCTGTGAGCAGCTGGTGACAGCGCTGTGTGACATCAAGCAAGCTTACACACAGTTTGGAGGTACTGATTTTTTTTTTTTTTTAAAGATTTATTTATTTTACTTGAAAGAGTTACACAGAGAAGGAGAGGCAGAGAGAGAGAGAGTCTTCCATCCACTGGGTCACTCCCCAATTGTCCACAATGGACGGAGCTGTGCCAATCAGAAGTCAGGAGCCAGGAGCTTCTTCCAGGTCTCCCACGTGGGTGCAGGGGCCCAAGCACTTGGGCCATCTTCCACTGCTTTCCCAGGCCACAGCAGAGAGCTGGATCTGAAGTGGAGCAGCCGGGTCTTGAACCAGCATCCACATGGGATGCTGGCAGTGCAGGTGGCGGCTTTTACCTACTACACCACAGCATCGGCCCCAGTACTGAATTTTTTAAAAAGATTTATCTTACTTATTTGAAAGGCAGAGTTAGAGGAAGCGACAGCAGTATCTTCCATACCCTGGTTCACTCCCAAAATGACTGCAATGGCCAGGGCTGGGCCAGGCTAAAACCAGGAGTCGGGAGCTTCCTCTGGATCTCCCATGTAGGTGCAGGGGCCTGAGCACTTGGGCCATCCTCCACTGCTTTCCCAGGCACATTAGCAGGAAACTGAATCAGAAGTGGAGCAGCTAGGACTCAAACCAGGGCCCATATGGGTCACCAGCATGGCAGGCTGTGGCCCAACCCACTGTACCATATTGCCAGTCCCAGTACTGAATGTTTTAGAAATTTTATTCCAAAAAGTTAAAGTGTTTCATGAGTAATAACCTTTTTGAGACAATAAAAAGAAATTGAAAATTTAGTAAACACATCATATGTTCCTGCTTTTTTTTTTTTTTTTTCTAATATTTATTTTAAAGGCAGAGTTAGAGTCAGGGACAAAGAGAGGAGAGAGAGAAGTCATCCATCCACTGGTTCGCTCCCCATATGGCTACCATAGCTGGAGCTGAGCCGATCCAAAGCCAGGAGCTTCTTCTGGTGTCCCACGCAGGTGCAGGGGCCTGAAGACTTGGGCCATCTTCCACTGCTTTCCCGGGTCATAGCAGAGAGCTGGATCAGAAGTGGAGCAGCCAGACTCAAACCGGCACCCATATGGGATGCCTGCACTGCAGGCTGCAGCCTTACCCGCCACACCACAGCCATTGGTCCCCATTCCTGCCTCTTGAACAGACCCGATTCACCATGTCAGTTAGCCCGAGTTTTATCGATAGGTTGTTGAAAGGCCAAAATCACATTTTCAAATCTGGAAACGGGTTGCTTTTTACATCATAATGAAATTCAGTGCTGGTCCCGTGTCTGTTTCATTTCTTAGCTGTATCCAAATCCTAGAAACAGAAGTGGGATTTGTGCTGGAGCTTATCTGTGGTGGCCAGAGTGTACAGCAGTTACTAATGCTTACCCTCACTGAGCCCCAGTAACCATAGTGATGCCACTTTAGATGGTTGTTCTTTTTCTTTGGTAAAGGCAAGCGTCCCTTTGGTGTCTCCTTGCTGTACATTGGCTGGGATAAGCACTACGGCTTTCAGCTCTACCAGAGTGATCCCAGCGGGAATTACGGGGGCTGGAAAGCCACCTGCATCGGAAACAACAGCGCGGTGAGTATTCCGCCTGCACCCCATACCTACGTAATTCTGTACTGGTGATGGAAACGAGGTCTTCAGATTAACTTTAAAATGTTATTTGAAAATATGAGGTAGAGAAAGACAGAAATAGAAACCTGCCCACAACAGCCAGGGGTTGGCCAGCCCAAAGCTGGGAGCCAGGAACTCAGTCCAAGTCTCCCATGGGGTTGGCAGGGACCTCACCTCTTGGGCCTTTGCCTCTGCCTCCCAGGGTGCATGTTGGTAGGAAGCTGGAATTGAAAGTGGATCTGGAGAGCCGGCGCCGCGGCTCACTAGGCTAATCCTCCGCCTTGCGGCGCCGGCACACCGGGTTCTAGTCCCGGTCGGGGCGCCGGATTCTGTCCCGGTTGCCCCTCTTCCAGGCCAGCTCTCTGCTGTGGCCCGGGAGTGCAGTGGAGGATGGCCCAAGTACTTGGGCCCTGCACCCCATGGGAGACCAGGAGAAGCTCCTGGCTGCTGCCATCGGATCAGCGCGGTGCGCCGGCCGCAGCGCGCTGGCCGCGGCGGCCATTGGAGGGTGAACCAACGGCAAAGGAAGACCTTTCTGTCTGTCTCTCTCTCACTGTCCACTCTGCCTGTCAAAAAAAAAGAGGATCTGGGACTCAAACCTGAGCGCTCCAGCCACCTTAATGTGGTAGGACGATGCCTTTCCTTTCTGTTAGTGACACTCATCGGTCCTCGTAATATAGTGGGGTTTGTTGGCTGCATTTGTAATTAAAGGTGGTTTTCTGTTAGAAGTTGTAGAAGTGTAGGTGTAATTTTTCCTGTTAGTTTTACACTCTGGATTCTTTGGCACACCCCTGGGAGACAGCAGATCCCAGGCGCGGGCCCCAGTGGCGAGCACCCGTGGCCCGCTCTCCCCAGCACCCCCGGCCACCTGCCCTGCCCTCAGAATCTTCACCCGGGTGCACTGCTAATAGAAGTTCCGGCATTTTCTGGTAGACAAAATGCAAACACTAAAAA